AAGGAAGGAAGGAAGGAAGGAAGGAAGGAAGGAAGGAAGGAAGGAAGGAAGAGAGAAAGAAAAAGAAAAGGGAAAAAGTGGTGGATTTGACTCCCTAACATCTGAGTACCCCTTCGCCCCCAGCCTCTCTCCCTCTTGTTTTCCAGAGTTACAGTTCTCTGCTCCTCATTTTGCCCTCTTCCTCCCAGGCCCTGTGCCCTCGGTCCCTGCCTCCAGCACCACACATGCACACACTCCACGGGAGAGTTCGACAAGCAACAGCCTTCGAAGAAGAGCCAGCGATCCTTGAGAAAGGTGAGTGAAGTCCTCTCTCTGAGCCTCAGTTTCCTCACAGACATTACACTTTTTACTGACAGGGGATTGTTGTGATGATTAGAAGGGGGGGCGCCTGGGTGGCTCAGTTGTTGAAGCGACTGCCTCCGGCTCAGGTCATGATCCTGGAGTCCCGGGATCGAGTCCCGCATCGGGCTCCCTGCTCAGCGGGGAGTCTGCTTCTCCCTCTGACTCTCCCCCTCTCATGCTCTCTCTCTATCACTCTCTCTCTCAATAAATAAATAAAAATCTTTAAAAAAAAAAGAGGATTAGAAGAGATCATATATGTAAAGCATTTGGCAACTCTTTGGTGCTTAATAAATGCTAATTCCTTTGTTTAATTGCTCCTCTTTCCTCACCCAGATTCTAAAGGACTTGAGACCATAAGGCTGTGGTTTCCTTCTGTGAATTAAACACATCATGTTTACCCTCCCTGATGACCCTGAATGGGAAAAACATCTTCCATCCCACACGGCAGCCAGCTTGCAAACATGACAGGTAGGGCAGATGCTAGATACTATGGGTGAGTTTCACTCAAGAGGTAAGGAATAACATCACAGTATTTTGTCTTCTGTCTTGGAACAGGGATAAGAAATTAGAGAGGCCTTCACCTAGAGGTGGAGAGGGAGGAGAGGGAGAAGGCAGAACACAAGGCTGGCAACACCAGAGACAAATTTCCGTGTTGCCAAATTTCCTTCACATCACAGTTTTACTGAGGCTCTGTCCTATGGCCCTTCACCTAGTCCTCAAAACAAACCAACAACAAAAGATATGAGAATGTTCTACCCTGAGAGGCACACACACCTTAGTGGGAGCTGAGCTGATAACCTTTTGCCAAAGTCCTGAATTACTGAACAAACAAAACTTTTACAAATGGCGTAATTGTAATTATTGACTGGCTTATCTGCAAAACGCTTAGCAATCAGCCTACGAAACACGGAGTCATGTTATGAGAATAAAAAACTCAAACTAACTCTGAGAACAATATTCTCAATTAAACTAACAGACAGAAAAAGAACCTGAGGATGTGTAAAAGGCTGGACCAAGCCCGCTGCAGGCACATCAGGAAGCAGTAGGTTCCTAGGACCGGCATGTGTTGTTGTACAGTTGCTCAAGGAGAGGCCCTACAGCACTTTCAGGCTCTCTGTGGAACACTAATATTCATGTTCTCATTCCCTCTCTACAAGACTCTATGAGGTACACACCATTCACATTTCTGCATCGTGCACATTAGGGTCCAGAGGTTTAGAAGTGTTGGACAAACCAGTGAGAGCCTGGATCGGAGTTCATGCTGTTAAATACCGTGCCACATAATCCACACACCCAGTCATCTGCTGTCTCTCACTGAATCTCCAAAGGGCTGAAATCAAGCACTTCTTTCGAAGACTTATTAAAATTTCAGGAAGTATTACAACGAAAAAACACTTGAAGGTGATCAAGAAATAGTAAAAGTTGGTTAATGTTGAAGTAAGTTCTACTCCATGGAAATATTAATAGAATCTTAAAACGTGTCACTTCTATTGCTAAGAGACAAACTTCTACTTAAAAATTATAATCATCATGCGAACAGCTTAGGAGCAAAGGCAGATGGTATTCACTTAAAGCATTCCTTTCTTTTGCTCTTAGGAAATCAAATCTTCCAGAATCATATAGAAGGACACCACAGACTTACTTTGACCTGAGGGTAGGACTTCTTGTTCTTTTCACTAGATGCACCAGGGAGTCCACCATGGGATGGGCCTTCACATACATAACGGAAACGAAATCCTCTCTGCAAAGGTGAATACAGAGCCAACAAGTTTGAGAAACACTTGTTAAAAATTATAGGGGCAAAGTTATATACAAATGTTTAATTCTTGTGTGTATTAGGTGAGAGAGGAAAAACATACACTGTGAAAGAGGACTCTGCAAATGAGAACCACTTTTCCCATAATCTTATTATAAACATAGATGTTAACTGATACTTGTGTACTGAGCTGTGGCTAAGTTAGCTGTGGCTAACCCTGCAGGACCTCTCCTGCTGTGCATATGCGGAGAGTGAGCCGCTGAAGATTTTAAGCCTTGGACTCGACATGCTGCAGCTTGTTTGAATCAGAGCTTCCTCATCTTGAATTGCTGCTGCCAAGCTCTGAACTTGGCCATATTACTGACTTACGCTTCTTTGACTCTTACTTAAAGGAATTCCTTTATCTACTCTGATTACAGTTGGTTCAGGAGGGGATACAGCAATGTCCTGTTAAATATACTGCATCCGTGTTGTAGAACACACTCCATGCAACAGTTCAGAAGATTTTGGATTTTATGATTATTGATATCATCAAGCTCAAGCTTGATATACTAACTGACCCGAATAATCCAAAACCAGATAATCTCTTTCAATATTATTAACCCAAGAATTCTACAGATACAGTACATCAGTGAAGAGACAGCTGGAGGCCTTTAACCATGTGAACTACTGTGGGCTGATAAACACCGAAGTTCCATGTTGTTGTTGTTGTTGTTTTTAATCTATACAAATGAGAAGATTAGACAAGACCATCTGTAAGGTCTAATCCAGTGCTAGCATTTTATGATTTACAAAACTAACAGTGATAACTGTACGTATTTGTATACCAAGAATAAAGCAAGGACGATTATGAAAATGGATCTGATATTAAGGAAGCTTAATAATGAGGGAGCTTTCAATATTTTTCCTGAAAGACTCAACTTTATAAAGCTGTCAGTCAATATGTGTTAGTGTTATAGTTTAAGCTTAATCAGACAGTTTTTCTTTTTTTAAATCCTTTTCAAATATCTTAATATACTTTAAGAAACATCCTCACCTTTCATTTATTTTTACAGTGGGGCTGATTTCATATAAACAGTGCTAGATCACTAGGCCATCAGGAGCTCCGCACACCCACTACTTGCTGGTAGGGGCTTTCTACCTTGCATACTCAACAATTGCAAAGCCTGGCAAATGCAAAGGTTTTAACAGCTTTGAGCTCATGGGCCAATGTAAAAATTCTTGCCCTCCTTAGATTGCGCTACATTTCATTATGCTTCATAGGGTCTTGCAAAATAGTCTGAGTGGTCCAGGAGCCCTGAACTAATAATTTAAACCTCTGGTAACGATCTGGAACTGTCCCTATATTTTCTGAGAACTTTCTGATTTCCAAAGGGGATCAGTCCTAAAGCATATTTCACGGGATGAGTGAGGCCTGAGGTAAATTCCCTAGTGTGGGAAAGTTCCTCAAGTCACACATGGATCTGGAGGGTATGACCAACTCAATAAACTGGGACTTAAAGCAACTTTTGCATATGACTCCTCAGGAGATTTCAAACCTAATACCAGGGAAACCTTTTGAGGTGAGCTTAGGAGCAATTCCTCTGTTTTGCTTCTCACCAAATTCAAACCAAAAAATAAGTTACATGTTCAGCCCTATACCTTTTGTAGACAAAGGCTTTTGGCTTATTTTTAATAATTAAATGAAATTTCTAAAAGCATGAAAAAGCAACAGCATGCATGACATGAGCCTCCAGAAGTGACTAGCCATAAAGATATTTATTGACTGTTAATCTACTTAAATACAACCTTGGTTTTTAAAAAGCATTAGATAATTAGCACTGAATAATATGCGACAGAACTGGATATTCTAAAGATTAGTAGTCTACGCTATGACTCATCTCTGTCAGAGCTGGGGAAAATTGTGGCAAAGAAAAAACATTTTTCTAACTTTTATTATAAAAACTTTAATAAAGTAATTCATTGTCTTTAATAACAAAATTCCTTTAGGCAGGTGGAAAAATATATACATATATACTTCTATATCTTATTGGGAGTCGTGTCAAATAGAATATGAGTAAAGAGACATGTCTTAATAGCTTGCTAACAGTTTGAAAAACAATAGGTAGTATTCATGATTGCATAAGAGTATCTAAACTTCTGTGCAAAGGAATTTTCAGCCTGAGGATGGAAATTTATTACATTTTTTTTCAGGAAGATAAGATGTCTTCACATGTATAGTCTAAATGTGTTTCTGATTCTAAAGTTTTGAGATTAGAGGTTTGTCGATCCACAGCCATTCATTTTAGTAACTCCATTTGCTTACGATGAGTCATCAACCTCAAAGGCAAGGGCTACATCCATCCGGTCAGAAAGTCTGACTTAAATACAATCTTTTTACTTTCACTGGAGTCAGACATCAAAATAACATCAGCTTGGTAAACAAACACATGGTTTTACTCAGGTGAGCTTTTAGACATCTACGCATAGTGAATTAAATTTTGAATTTTGGATTTACACAGCCCTTTAGGTAAATCATATGTGTCAATTTTTCCTTATAACTGTTGGACCCATAATAAGGAACTGCATTTAAAAATTCTTGTTTATGCTTATGAAAGTAAGTATTTGAAAAACACGCTTTGCCTGGTACGCAGAGACACAGATTTTAGTTTGATCTCTCACTTTCATGAGCTAGCAGATTTTGAAAGCTAGGAAGTTTTCCAGGAGGCGAGACCACTGCACAGACTTCCAAGGGGATAAACTTCCACTGGGAGGGTCTTTGAGAAAACTGGCTACCTCTTGTGAGAAGTCACTGTTAAAGAACTGGACATGGAGGTAAAGCAAAGGCAAGTCATGTTGGCAGCCCATGGAGTCGGTCTGCCACTGCAAACGACCAGAACAGTGTCCAAAGTCTCATGTGGCATTCCATCTCCGCATCAAAAACTTTTATCTCAGTCCAGCCTTATAATGATAGTTAAGATAGTTCTAACCTTTAAATTCTAACTGAAATCTAAACACATGTCACAATTACAGTAACCACAATGGATGCTTTATTTAAGTTCTTGACCTAGTTAGGATTTGTCAGATGTTACACAATGCAGAAGAGCTACTAGAAACATTAAGAAAGGTTTTGGGTATTAACTGCAAGACAGCAGGTATACGCATCTCCAGTCTCACACAAATGTGGTAATCACATCCATTCAGAGATTTACTTGCTCTGCCCTCATTCTGTGGGGGACTTATACTAGTCTCCTAAAAATCCCCTCATAATTAAGCTCTCCCCTATACCTTCTAAGAAAAACATGAAGATTCTCTTTCCTCCTCTTTCATAGCAATGGTCCCATCCAATTTCCAATAAATATTTATCCACAGAGTCAGGGCATGGTGAGGTAGCCACTTCAATTCCCAAGCATCCCCGACAAAATCTAGTGATTAAGAGGAAGAACCTGATAAAATAAAATGCTCCTCTCCTGTCTCCAAAGGGGCTGAGTCTCAGGCTAACACCCAGAGGGAGGAGGACTCAACTGTCCATTCTAATATATTACCTACACCTCACTGGTACTTGTAATACCTTAGGTCATGTGTCCCAAAGAAAAAAACAGAAAGGGCTGGTGCTTCTAAAGGAAGGAGGAAGGCTAAGAAATTACCGTCTGTGCAGGGACAGGGTTGATGGGTATAAGTTAGTGTCTATGAACTGCATGTACGGTTGTTTCCTTATAAATGAAAATGAATGGAGACAACCTATGCCTTTCCTAGGAGTGGCCGCTAAGCACAGAGATGGTGGAGATAGTGAGGTAGTAAGGATCTGTAATCATCTAGGTTTTACAGAACTACGACTGAGGCTCAGGACACTTGGAAGAATGACTAAGAGAAATGTAAAGCAGACAAATGATGTTGTCAAATAATTTGGTAGTAGGCTGCTAAACTTCTAGATAAGCTACTTCCTTCATAAAATTCACTTATTATTTTATTCAGTGCTTGAGATACGAATATGAGACTTATGGATCTCACATTTAAAGAGGAAGTCCCATCCCTTTAATCCTCTTACCTGTTTAGGTTGCTCTAATATTTGAAGGTATGGACCATCTGCTAAAAGTGAAAACAACAAACAGAAAGCAAAAGAAACTGTGAGGCTTCTCAAATTTGCTACAAAATATAAAGTAAAAAAAAAAAAAAAACCCTGAAACTATGTTTTTAAATAGAGGTTTCAAATTCATTTGTTAGCTAAAATTCCATACTGATATAATTACCTTCCTCACTTGACTAGTAACTTTATTTTTAACAACAGTTTTATGCCTTTAGAGAACCACGATAAATAAACATATGTTGAATGGTGATAGCACATTGCACCAATCCAAGAAAAGATGTGATGTCCATCTGGCAAGGATGAAGATGTCAACAGCCTTCAAAATCTTGACTACTAACAAAGCATTTTTAAAATGACACAAATACCAGTTAAAAGCAGCAACCATTTCCTGGGCACCATGACATTTCCTTTTGCCTTCACCTCATTAGACACTGACTTCCATTCCTCAAAGAGAATGTGCTTAACTTGACAGTAGAAGAGACTGAGCTAGCGCCCACATGTGTGAAATACACTGATAGTGATCTCAGGCTACCTGCCTTTCCTGAACTAAGTGTTTGGTTCCTTTCCCTTATCTGAATCCCCAAGTACTGCCTTCATTCCCCAACTGGCTAGGTTGTTTTCCCTGCCCTCCCAATTTCATTTGGTCTATTGCACCAAAAATCTGGTGGACATTTCCTGCTAATTCATAGCTTTTGATGTTTGTATACAATCTCTGAATACTGAGTACTCTCATATCAACTCTTCTGAAACAGCACAGGCATTTTATAAAATCCTGTAAAAAATTTAATTGACAATAGCTGCATTTCAATAAATTATGATAAAAACATAAAGAAGACTAGAAGCTTAATCGATACCCAGACTATATCTGACTTTGGAAAATTCAAAGGCAAATCAGAACCTCTGGTAGTATAAAATCAAATTGTTCAATATGAGAAAGTCCCTAAGCTCCCCAGCTGGTTTTTATGTTAATAGTATAATAACCCTCAGCTCTGCAATAGAGGCATATGGTGTTTCTCACTCATTTGACTGCAAATTAAGATGTCTGATACTAACAAAATTGTAGGAGAATGTTTCTGTGTTCATTTCAGTCTTTCACAGTCTCTTAACCAGAAGTTCATTCTTTTAGGTAACAGAAGTTCATATTATTTTAGATAAATAAGTTTATGAAGAAGATTTAAATCTTCATGTTGAAATTAAAAAAATCAACTATAACTTAAGAGAGAATTTATTTTTATCTTCTCAGTGTTATGATGAATCAGGATAAGGCTAGAGAACTGGAGGAAACAAAGGTATAATTATTTCCTGTTATTATGCAAGAAATTTATAAGGAAGTCAGTTGAAAAATGACTGAATTTGAAGCAAAACATACACAAGAAAGGAAAAATGGGTAGTGACTGGCCAATGCAGTATTAATTTAAGAAAATTATCTTCTCTTGTCTGTATGAAATTTATCCTGGATACCTTAAAATACTTTTAGGAAAAAAATTGCAATTTAAAAATTCCAAAAAATGGCTAGAACTTAATTTTTGACAGGGAAATAAAACTGCTTAGAAATAGAAACATTTTCACACTACTAATACAGCTTTGTGATAATGTAACAAATCTACTCATAAAAACATTCCCTCTTGAATGCTGTATCAATAAGAGAAGGCTCTAAAAAAGCAACCTTTGTATGTCATGGAAAATACAGAAGAGTTAGATCACGTTTACATTAAACTTCAAGTCTCTCACTTATTAACTCTTCTAAAAATACTTGAAGATTTGCTATTATTTTTTGCTGTATGGCTTAATTTCCTTTAAATATGTGAAATTCCAAGTTTGGGGAATTTTATTAGTGAAGTGGGGCCATTTTTCTCCTTTAGGGAACACACTCAAAAGTTAAATCAACTAGAAAATTAGATTTGATATGCATGTAGTCATTTTAATGCCAATTTTATTTTGGCCACATTTCTATGCCATGAAGTAACATCCCACTATGCAGAGAAATTTAACTTACAGTATATATAACATTATAGACCTAAAAGTTGTACCGTATCACATAAAATTTTCAACAAGTAGTAGAACTAATAGTTTCAGATTTCAAGAAGATAAAACATCCATGAGAATTACAAGTTAATATTGGCTTAAATAACCTCTCTACCCTTTAAAAAGTGAATAAAACATCCATACATCTTGGATCATAAAAATTGGACTATGCCACTGCAACAGAGAGGGAAAAACACAACAATAAAAATGATGAGGTAATAACTGGAATATGAGATTTTGAGGTATAATTTTAAGAGTTTTTCTAATACTATGGCAAAATAATTTCTACAACATGAAGCTCTGACCACATAATATTTACTGAGATGTTTCTTTTTATAATCTTATTTCAACCTCCATAAACTTGATGAAATAAAAACATTAAGAAAGCATTTACTCAGGGTACTATTTGGCATTTACAAGGCATTAAATGGAAATGTTTATGTTTTCTGACGACAGAACCAAGTTCTTAGGCTTTCAATAAAGCTAAGAAAGAACTTTGATACTAAGAAAGAACTTTGAACCCCAGAATAAAAAGTTCACAGGAAACACAGAAGCTACCAAGATCTTTACTTGTTCACAGGAAGCTGACCTACAGCTCAGATTGGACAGCATTTCACGAGATCTCTCCTACAGCAGCCTACAAAATACATTCTGTGGGGTAAAGAGAGAAAGGCCTCAGCCATACAACTTCTGCTAGGGAAGGTCAACATATAGCAGATTTATTTTTTCCCTCCCAAGAATTCCTAGATATACATAATAGCGATAAAAAAATGCAGAACATTTTGATCTAAAAAAAGAAAAAGTGGCTACCATAGTAACAATATTAATTTTAAGTGAGAATGATACAAACTGGATGAAGTCTCCCAATGAGGACAAGCAAGTCCATGGTAAATAGAATAGCTGATGTCCACTCGGTGATTACAAGTCTCTGGGTTTTTTGTTTGTTTGTTTGTTTAAAGATAATCTCTACACCCAACATGGGGCTCAAACTCACAACCCCGAGATCAAGAGTCGCATGCTCTACTCACTGAACCAGACAGATCCCCCAAATACAACACTCTCTGCTCTATATACAACTTCCACAATTTACTCACGCTGCCTCAGAGCATATGTTAAGTCCCACTAGTGATATGAGGAGCACATAAAAAGAGCCATCACACAAAGCTTACATACAAATCAATAAATAAAAAGAGACTAAAGGAGCTGATTTTTTTAAATCATCCATATGAGATTCAACAATTTGTCAATGGCAATAATACAGTCATATTAGAAGGAAGGATGATTAACCTAAGTTTTATCCAATTGGTCAGACTATGAAGCCAAAAGCTTTTAAAAGATGATTTTTCTACTGAGATGATTTTTATGATTTTTGGAAACTTTTGTAAACTTTGTTTCCCCAGTGCCTGGCACACTGGATGGCACACAACAGATGCTCAAATAAATGTTTGGGGAACAGACCTGAGAAGTGGAGAATACCTCATGTGCATCTGGGATAAAGGAAACAGGAGTTATAAAGAACCCAGAGCTAATAAGACTGGGTGAAAAGGAAAATGTTACCGGAAAAAAATTCCTTCTGAGCCATCCTCACAGATATCACTAACAATTAAGTCAGACAATGGGTAAGTGGGATGGAACACCACTTTTGTGCAAGTATAGTCTGTGCAAATATAGTTCCAACAAGTCTAGTGAAAGTTGGTTTTTAAAACATGTATCACCATTTCCTTTCTAGGCATATTAGTGACTTGCTACAAGAAGCTATTAGGGAATCTTGAATTTAAAAAAAAAAACAAAAGCAAAATAAATGACAGGGTAACAGGGATGAGGAGTTTTCTTACCTGTAGTTAGTGGCATCTCTGGTTGAAATAACTCTGGGTTAAATATTGTATGAGTCAAAGGATCCAAATGAAACATCTGTAAAAAAGAAAATTTAAATAATTCAATCTTTACTTTTCCAACATTGTATTAAATATCTGAAGTTGAAACACCTAAAACAATTATTGGAACAAAAACGAAAGCACAAAGAAAAATCTGAAAATATTTCAAGTCAGGATTTTAAAAACATGTTCATGAGACCTAGCGAAATTCTCATGTGTACAGAACTTTACATGTTTGGGCCATGTTTATGTGACAAAGGGATCTGAGAAGAATGACCTAACTATAAAGTCCACAGAGGCCAGCACCTGGTGTAGCTTGCTTATTAGTATATCTTTAGGGCCCAGTGTATATTTATCGCAGAGTGGATACTTAATATTTTTTTAATGAATGATTTAAACTGTACTCTCAAAAATATGAGAGTAAGAATATGGTCCTAGAAATCCTAGAAATATTTCTCTGATGATGGTAAAGAAACTCCTGCTCTAGCCATACAACTTCAAGACCTATAAGAATTAGGCAAAAGCCCCGGAGCAATTTACAGAAAAACTAAAAATGTAACTTACAGTCTAAGCAGCAGATATAACTGAGCACAGAGCGCCCTCACTTTTTTTTTTTTCCACCTCTACTTACTTAGCACAATGCAAAATACCTGGAATTTAACAGGTGTGATAGGCTGGATAATGGTCCCCCTCAAAACAACTACATCCTAATCCCCAGAATCTGTGAATGCTATCTCATATAGCAAAAAGGAGTTTGCAGATGTTATTAAATTAAGAATATGGACACAGAAGGGCGCCTGGGTGGCTCAGTCTGTTGAGTGTCTGACTTCCGCTCAGGTCATGATCTTGGGATCCTGGGACTGAGCCCTGCATCAGGCTCCCTACTCAGCAGGGAGTCTGCTTGTCCCTGTCCCTCTGCCCCTCCCCCTGCTCGTGCTCTCTCTCTCTCTCTCTCTCTCTCTCTCTCATATGGACATAGAGAGATAATCCTGAAGTATTCAAGTGGGCTCAGTAAGAGGGATGGAGGAGATCAAAGTGAATGGTAGGAGATATGACAATGGAAACAAGAAGCTGACGTGATGAAGGGGTCACAAGCCAAGGAATGCAGGCCACTTGTAGAAGCTCAAAGAAGCAAGGAAAAGAAATCCTTCAGAAGGAATTTAGCCCTGTGAACACCTGGATTTTAGACTTCTGACCTTCAGACTGTAAGAGAATAAATTTGTGTTGTTTTAAGTCACTAAATGTCTGGTAATTTGTTACAGTAGCAACAGAGAACTAACACAGTGGGCAAGCAATATGTGTTGATTGAATTATATATTCTATCTTGATAAGTTACTAATAAGTACTTACCCCAAGAGAAAATTTCCTTTCCATTTAGTTCATTCAGGACTTAAAATTTATACTTCTGAGCTTAGCATTTGTTTCAACCTAAAGTCTGTGGACCGCACAAAAACCAACCATATTTCATTTTTTATGATATGCTAGTTAGTAAGCTGGTATTAAACAAAAAGAAAAAGGAGCATTACAATTTACTCCTTTAAAAAAAAAAAAGATTTTTACCTACTTGAGAGTGAGTGAGCGAGACAGCGAGATAGAGAGAGACAGCAAACAAGCGGGGAGGGGGCAGAGGGAGAGGGAGAAGCAGACTCCTTGCTGAGCAGGGAGCCTGATGCAATGCGGAGCTCGATCCCAGGCCCCTGGGATCATGACCTGAGCTGAAGGCAGATGCTGGAGCCGAAGGCAGATGCTTAACCGACTGGGCCACCCAGGCGCCCCTCCTTTTTTTTTCTTTTATTACTATATTGTTGGAGGTTCCTGGAACCTACGAGCCTAGTATGCCTAGTTAAATCAAGAGTAAGAAGCACAGTGTTTAAATAAAGAACAATTCAGATCCAGTTGTGAGGTATGCAAATTTTCAGTTGAGGAACAGTAAATCTGCTCCACTTCAATGCTTAAGAGTAAAGTTCATCTATGCTATCCATTGTTCACTGGAAAGGAAACATAGGAATCAAAAAACATGCTATTGTAAAAAATGGGCCCCACCTTACAGAGTATTTGCTGGTGTCAGAGAAGAGATGACCTAGCAAAAAAATGTCTTCCCTATGGTCCTGCGAGTGGCTAAAATAACCGAGGAGAGGGAAGAGCGGTGGTCTTGGAAGTGAGGCGCACACTCCACTTCAGACAAGGAAGACAGAAGCCGCGTTGTGCGCTGCACCTTGCATTGTGTATCAGGTCACGGTTGGACAGCAAATTCCAGAATATGTTAAAAACACTGGGGATATTTCACTGAGGACATGTACACTTCAGGAAATATATACCGTTAATCTTGAGACAAGGAAAAAAAAAAACCTCCTACTTCAAGGACCTCTCGCCTCAAAAATGGAAATATCAGATCGTACCCCACCCCTATTGCTGATGATCACAAAAGTGCCCACATAAGAAAAACTCTCGAAATGAATGTTTTCAGCAGGTTTTACTTTTGTGTGGCACTAAAGGACCATCTCTTGTTGATAAGATTTCCTGTGTATAGACAGGAAAGCATGGTCTAAAACCAAGGAGAACAACCCTAATGCTGATTAGAGTCTGCCTTCAAATGTTAGAGATAGCATATTAAAAATGAAAGGTAAAGACGAACCATGAGAGATGATGGACTCTGAAAAACTGAGGGTTCTAGAGGGTAGGGGGGTGGGGGGATGGGTTAGCCTGGTGATGGGTATTGAGGAGGGCACGTTTTGCATGGTGCACTGGGTGTTATGAACAAACAATGAATCATGGAACACTGCATCAAAAACTAATGATGTAATATATGGTGATTAACATAACAATAAAAAAATTAAAAAAAAAAATGAAAGGTAAAACATGGGTTTTGATAATATGAGTGGCCAAATATCTCTTCTGCTGTAATCAAAGAAAATGTTCCTAGATTGATCTTATATCACCATTTGTACAATAAAATTCAAAAAGAGCACCTTAATGTGAAAAGCAATGTATATTCATTCTTTCTAAATAAATCAGAAGATTGTCAAGAGTAGTGAATGCTACACAATATTTTATTTGCAGAAGTGATACCAGATCCCTTGAAAAGTATTTCACTTTTGGTTTTATTTTCCTGTTTGCATGCATACATTTGGAAAATCCATTTTTTAGGTGGTTGCCAGTGAAGTTTTAATGTGAAATGATTATGAATCTTGGGCCAGGGTGTCCTGGTACCTAGTGTTCCCTCTCCTTGTCTAGTCTAGCAAAATACATTTTCCAAATCGCAGCTTACAAAGACTTTCTCTGGAAAGTCGTTCATAACTCTGTTCTTCCCTCCAGGTAGCAGAGTGATCCCTTTTGACATTTCTAGCTCATTCTGTACAAACTACTATGGCAGCATTTATCACTATATAGAAACTATGTTTCTGTTCCTCCTATTAGAATGGCAGCTCTATCACTTTGTAGTCCTTCTTAGCCAATGTTCTGGTACATAGAATGCCTCAATAAATAGCCGAAATACTCCTTAAAATTAATTATGTTAAAAATTTAATAGTGCTATTGTAATTACCCTAGACTCTGGAAGTTGCTTTCAAATGGTTCATTTTATATACATCTAATATAAAATATATAAAACACATATGTATGTATGCACATACAGAGGGAGGGAGGGAGAAAGAGAGGGAGGGATGGGGAGGAAGCAAAATATTAGTAATCAACAAAGATCTGTTGGACTATTCAATATTTCTATAGACCTGAAATTTTTCAAAGTAAAAAGTTGGGCGAAAAAAAATTGGTATCCCTTCATAACCGAAAATAAAATTATAATGAACTGTTATATGTTCCCCAAACACATTCATTGCCCATTCAGTCTTTTCAACATCCTTGTGAGTATGGGGCTAGCATTCCTATTTTGCAAATGAGAAAAGTGGGATGGTGGGGGGCCGAGTGATTCCTCAAGTTTTAAGAGCTGATCAGTAGAAGTCAGCATCTACAAAAATATATTTGAATTCTAAGGCCAGAGTTCTTTTCACTACACTAATTTGCCTCCACACTAGATGAGCTTTAAATAAATATTTTGTGTTTCCCCCCAAAAAGACACATTCAAGTCCTAACCCCCAGTGCCTGTGTACGTAACTTTACTTAGAAATAAGGTCTTCACAGATGTAATCAAGTAAAGAAGATGTCATACTGAAGGGTGGACCCTAAATCCAATGACTGGGGACTTCGTGAGAGAAACGAGAGGGAGATTGGGATACAGGGACACAGGAGAGACACCCAGGGAAATAGGCAGGTCTGCAGGAGCGATGCAGCTACAAGCCAAGGAGCACTGAGGATTGCTGGCAACCACCAGCAGGCCAGGAGAGAGAAGCCGGGAACAGAGAGTCTCCTTCTTAGAACTTCCAGAAGTCACCAACCCTGTCATCTTCTTGATTCTGGATTTTGATATTTCTAGCCTCCAGAACTGTGAGAGAATATATTTCTGTTTTCATGTTTTGTTTTGTTTTGTTTTGTTTTTAGAGACGGAGAGGGGGAGGGTACAGAGGGAGAGGGAGAGAGAATCCCAATAGGCTCCACACCCAGCACAGAGCCTGATGTGGTCTTGATCCTACAACCCCGAGATCATGACCCGAGCCAAAACCAAGAGTTGGACGCTTAACTGACTAAGCCACCCAAGCACCCATATATTTCTGTTTTTTTGTTTTTTTTTTTAAGCCACCTGGTTTGTGATCATTTGTTAAAGTAGCCCTGGGAAACTAATATGGTAGTTATCATTTGACCCATAGCATATATAATTTTTATGCAATAGTACGTGTGCTAGGAGGGTTTAAGTTACTCATTTTATATGACACGTCCTCTCTGACCTCACATGGAGGGACAGGGAAACTGCAAAAACAATTTAAAATAAATTTCTGCCAATTTTAGAGTTTTCCTGATAACTACTACTGCTGCCTCTGTATATTTAAAAATATGAATACATTTACAAAAAAATTATCAGTGAGATTATAATACTTACTTGTTCATGCCCTCCCAAATATGTATCGTCTTCTGCCATTCTGGAGCTGTGTATCAAAACAAAACAAAATCAGACTATAAGAATGGAATGACACTTAAGAATTCCATCATGCAGGAGTAAACTATATTATTCCAGTAAGACCAAACATAATCCTTTTTAAAAGTCTTAGGAGGGGGGACATCAACCTTAGAAGAGAAGTTCCTTTTTGAAATCGAAATCTACCAGCAGGAAAATTGCACAATCAAAGAATTACCACGTATGTACAATCCAAAACCATGGCAAGCTCACAACAGTGTCCTGGAGTTTGGTGCAACCAATCTTCATCCTCTGTATAAAAATCATACATACTGAAATTCTTAGAGGTCATTTCTATTTGTCACCATCTAGACTTCAAGGATTTAGTCTTAGCTCTGTGTGTAGATTACTTTCCAACCTTTCATGAATTCTGCAATGGTATTAGAACTGTATCCAAGCTTTCTACCCACTTCTAGAGTTGAAAAGCTCAGAGAAGGTCCTCCTGCTGTCAGAGGGGCCTGGTCAGTGATTTGTGCAGCACTAGGAGGGGACAACTACGGTGTGCCATGCTCTGCCCTCCAGTGCGTTCCACTGCAGTAAGTCATTTCCTACCCTTGTCCAAGTGGTATAGAAAGGCGCCTGGGTGGCTCAGTCGGTTAAGTGTTGGACTCCTGATTTCGGCTCAGGTCATGGTCTGGGGGTCCTGAGATCAAGCCCTGCGTTAGGCTCCACGCTCACAGCGGAATCTGCTTAAGATTCTCTCTCTCCCTCTGCCTCTGCCCCTCCCCTCATTCGCATGCACGCTCACTTGCTCTCTCTCTAAATAAGTAAATCTTAAAAAAAAAAAAAAAAGTGGTAGAGAGAGATTGTAAGAGTCCTTATTATCAAGGCTACAGTCTCAGATTTAATCAACCCCAGCCAGATATTAATGTACTGCAGGCCCTAGCAGTCTTCTATTACCCAGAGGCCCTGAGAAAAGTGAGAAACCACATGGCCAGATAAAAACAGTATCTAAAAATCACATATCATTTTGGATTTACTTAAGAAATATCCTTCTCATTACTTTAAATACAGGCTGATTTTATTTAAATTTACCTAGATCAAATTTTAGATCTATTTACGTGAAAGATTAAAGGACAAAAAAGGCTGAAAGCAAATATTAATTCCTGAAATAAATTTTTCTTTCATTTTTTACTGAAATATAGTTGACACATTACATTAATTTCAGGTATACAACATTCCTGAGACAAGCTTTTTGTTTGTTTTTTTTTCCCATGAAGTCTATAAAGCACTTGGGATTCGGGCTGAGAATGTTAACTGTATGCCAAAATCTGTACTCTCCTTTTGCACGGTAATAGTTGTAGCTGGAAATGTAACTGCTCAGCTAGACTATACCCCACACTTCCTTAGAATGAGGGATGGCCACTTGATGAAATGCTCACCAGTGGAATGTCAAACTATCTCTGTGCCACTTCTAGGTCTGGGCTTAAGGCCCTTGACATGTGTCCTCCATGTTTTTGTTTTGTTTTTTCTCTTTCCTTCTGGATAAAACCTAGACATGAAGAAGACCCAGCTTCTACCAGAGATGATGATGAGTGGCAGCTAATACTGGTAGTGATGTGAGAGAGAAAGAAATCTCTTTGGTCTTTGACCTAGGGCATTGCTGGGTCTCTCTATTAATACAGTCTAATGAATACGTCTCCAGTAAAGGACAAGATCCTTCAAAGAGGACCCTGGTTTTCAATGACATCCTCTCCTGCCAGAGGCCTCTGTGCCTGACAAGGAGTGAGCAAGCCTCATGAGGACTGCTAGTGGGATACAGAGCAGTGTCCAACTTCAGCAGAAGGGAGAAAGGTGTGTCCTATAAATATAACTCCATGAGGATTTGAAAGAAATATTTGTCTAAAACATAAAACTGCTGAAGATTGACAAATGACTGTAATCAATTAAGATAAGTAGCTTAAAAAACAGGGGGGGGGATTGCCCTGATACAGTAAAAAGGAATTAAGTCATTCAAAATTCCAGAGTTCTTCCACTACTTGGGTGTGTGACTCTGGATATACAACGAAACTCACTATGGCCTTGTTTCTTCATCTGTAAAATGAGAGGTTTTGATGGGATCGACCTCTGACAACAGTAGAACTTTGCTGAGCTTGCAGTAGGTTAGTTGACTAATAAATGCTTATTCAAAGAACAAATCACAGCTCTTTTTGTAAACTTGGATTTTTACATGTACTTAGGTATATATCTATATTAAAGAGTCATTATCATAATTTTCAGTTATTTGAAGAATACTAGTAAAATAATAAGTGTTATACTGAAATGCAGTGCTAATGCCAGCTGCAATATTCCATGTGGAAAATCCTTATTCTTAGAACACCCAGGAGTCCAAACTTCCAAGAAAGATATTAAGACAATTTTTTTTCTTTTTTGCCTTTAGGCTTTCCATTAATGTGGGCTGACCACCTGAATCCTCTCAAACAATCTTAGCCTATGGTCTTCAAAAGCAGAGGCGAGACTGTTGACTTATTAAATAGACAGAATCCATTGAGTACCTGTTACTTTGAATATATATGTGTACCTGTACATGCGGCTGTGGATGGCTTCCTGATCTTTGAATATAAAGTGGCCCTCACTTTGATTTTAAAAACTCAACTAAAGGGCGCCTGGGTGGCTCAGTTGGTTAAGCGACTGCCTTCGGCTCAGGTCATGATCCTGGAGTCCCTGGATCGAGTCCCGCATCGGGCTCCCTGCTCAGCAGGGAGTCTGCTTCTCCCTCTGACCCTACCCCCATCTCATGTGCTTTCTCTCTCATTCTCTCTGTCTCTCAAATAAATAAATAAAATTTAAAAAATAAAATAAAATAAAATAAAAACTCAACTAAAATTACTCTATTAGAACTGCCACAGGGTTCTTATCATGATCTTTACTGTAGTTAAAACTTTAATGAAGATCTCCAAACTGTAGGCACTGAACAAAATACCCAATTAAACACAGTCCTCCTGCCAACATCCTCTCCATGCTTTTTGCCCAAAAGTGTGCCAAAATATCACTGTTTTAAAAGCCCAACAGCAGCCCAAGAGATACCAGGGTGGTGATTAAAATCTGAACTTTTACAGGCTTTGTAAGGCAGTTAAATTCACCGTAAAGAGCTGAGGTAACAGGAACCCTCAGAGTGAAGTCAATGTTAATTCATAATTTAAAAATAAAATGTCAAAAGAAACCAAGAATTCTTTGGAAAGGATGAATCACTGAGTAATATTTGCATCAATTGTAAAAGCAAGTTTTATTTCAAAATTCTGAAATACCAGCTAAGCTTTTGGAACTGAAGGATTAGGAAAGACCAGGGAAAGCCCCTCCTGCCCCCCTGCTCCCTGAGCCCTTCCTCTCACTTTCCCTTCGCACAGTTCTGTGCTTTTGAGGAAGGACCTTGAAACAGAAAGGAAGATACTGGGTTGACTAGTGAAAAGATGGGCCTAAGCTCTGCATCTCTCTCCTCCAATGGTGAGGTTTTCAGGAAAATGTTCACCCGTGGAAAGAGAAATAGAAAATGTAGCTAGCTAGCAATAAAAATAGCTTCTCCAGAGAATTGTTTGTCTTTCTCACATGAGAGGCACAATGTTATAACTGGCTAAGTTCTAAACACGTGACTAGTTCTATATGAAATGCCTAATGGATTATTTTCTGCACATCTGTGACAATCGCACCACTGACCTCAAAGGCCAGCACAAAGAGTTCTTAGTGAAGGCAGCAAGACCAAGCCCACTTCCCTCCTTATAAGTGGAGGAATTTTCTAGGATCAGATATATTCACATTTTTTGGGCAGGGCCCACTGTAAGGAAACATACTCTTTTTGTTCTATTAGATTTCACTAAAAAGAAAAACAACAAACTTTTCAAACCCCCTAATGGGTGACAATCTGCAGTTTGAAAAACAGAATTTTAGGTGCCATTCAGAGGACACAGCTGGGAATCAGAGAGATAAAGTGTCTCTATTTTCAAGATTATAATCAGCTATAACAGAAACCACTTAGGTGTAATTTTAATACCTCATCCTGGAGAGCAGTGAGGATGAAATTATAGGAAAGACAGTGACTTTTCACCATTTCTCTGTTGAATAATAAATTGATATAAATAAAGGCTATTTATCTAGACAGAGGAATTTTTTTTTAAGATTTTATTTATTCATTTGAGACACAGAGATACAGAGAGAGAGAGAGCATGAGCAGGGAGAGAGGCAGAGGGAGAAGAAGCAGGCTCCTCGCTGAGCCAGGAGCCCGACGTGGGGCTCGATCCCAGGACCCTGGGATCATGGCCTGAGGCGAAGGCAGATGCTTAACCACCTGAGCCACCCAGGTGCCCCTAGACAGAGGAATTTTTTGGAGGAAGTGTACTGTAAGGTATACACACGTGTGTACTACACGTAACGGGAAACATTCAACTGAGATTATCTTTTGACTCTGCAATTCCACTTCCACAAATTTGTACTAAAGAATTATATGAGCATATGTGCAAAGAAATTAGTACGAGGATATGCACTGCCGCAAAAAACTGGAAACAATCTAAATGTCCTCTGATAGCAGATTGCTTAATTATAATTAGGCTACACTCATAGCTTATATGTTACGTAGCTGTTAAAAATAATAATTTGGATCCATATATAGTGACATGGAGATTATTACTCAAGTTATACATTCCTATGTCTTAATTTTCTAACTCATCTATGTAATTAGAAATATATCTTAAGAAAAAAGAGAAAAACACTGCTGAACTTAAAGTTGAAGCTTAAACTTAAAGTTTAACTCTGACATCTTTAACAATTAATGACATAGTGAATCACACATGAAGTATGAATGAGTGAACAATTTCTAAGCACTACTGGAATCCTCTTCAAATAAATATAATAGAAAAAATTTAACTTTAAAGGGGCTACTTTTTTACATCTTTCTTCTGATATATTGGTTTAGTGATGATGAAAAAAATGTTAATGGTGGGTTTACTTTTCTCAAAATAGCTCTATTAAAACTTTTTG